CACAAAATAATGTTCTTTTTAGCAGCATCATATGACCCCTTTACAATTAATGAAAATATTAGCTAAATTGTGTATTTCTATATATTTTCAATGTCAACATTACATCATTGTGTAGTTCATCAAACATTTCATAGTTCTCACTACAATATCAACATCTCTATCATTTAAAATAGTTGGAAGATTCGTGTACTGAATTCATGGGAAGTTCAACTGACATGTAATCAATTAAAAAAAATAAAACATTAAAAATGTGATTAATTTTTATGTTAAAATTCCAGTGAATTCACAATTATACACTTCAAGCTTTCCTTTAGCTTCGATCAGTGATGCAGTAAAATTTACAACTAGTACAAAGTAAAGTTTCACCTGTAAACTGCATTTAAACATTTCAATGGTGTAAAAAGACAAACTACACCATTACTGTATGTCTTAACTGCTTAACCATATTCATGTACAACAACCAAAAACCACTGAACAAAAGCACAGCTAAAATTTTAAGTCAAATTAATCTGAAGAACTCAATTATAGTGTTATTTTTGCACATGAATCTTTACACTTATTTCTGAATTTGTATATTCCTATTTTTATCCTGATATTTTTTATTTGAATGTGTGTGTTTTTAAATATATATATATTCTATATTTCTCCATATATCAAAGAAGAAAAGCATTTTTCAATCATAAAGTGCAATGAACCTTGATTTAAAAATAAAAAGTTCGTTTTTTTATTTCCCCCATATATTAGAATGTTTAATTTTAATGTTAAATTTTTTTCTAAACAAAACCTTTTTTTTCTACTGTTCTATTAATCTACTGTTATTTGTTTACATTTAACATTAAATAATAATTTAATATTTACAATTCTACACATAACATTAAACATACACTAGAAATTTTAAATGATAAAAACTGTTATATGTAGGGAACTTTAATAAATGTTTGCGGAAGGATCGCTTTAAATGTGAAACCTACAAATAAGCATGTAGACATGTAGCATGTTTATGTTTATAAATGTGCATTTTATATTATGTTCAATAAAAAAGAGGGGAAAACAAAACCTTTGGTGAAAATACGGGAACATGATACTGAAGAACAGAGAGGTTGGTGCCACAGAAGCTGTGAAATGACACTTAAAGTAAAAACACTTTCTATGAACTGGGTATAAAATCTGATATTTGCCTGATATTTTCTTCAGTAAAGAGGCTTAAGAAACATTGATAGGCCTATTGACAACATCAGGGACTCCGATTAAATACTATATGACTCTTTTTTTCTCATTATTAACCTTTTTCAGAAGTACTACATGAGTATCGCTTTGAATGGGGATACATCAAAACCAATGAAATCTGACAAAAGTTGTCTTATATTGTTCCTTATGCTCAAATAGCATTAAACAAGCCGCTCACTTGAGTCTAATGAAATAAGACAAGCAATTTACAGTGTATATACAATTACTGCTAAATATGTTAGATTGAGCCTATGAGGAGCCACAGGACCTATTAAGTCCATCACAGGTACAAACATGTGAATCTATAGTTACATGTGAATTAAGTTTGACACTCTGGAAACATTAAAATATTACTTTGTCGTGCTCTTTTAATTATCATGGCAACATGTAACTATCTAATTGTTTTATTTTCTATCAATTTAGTTACTAGAAAGTTAAATCTGGGTTTAGGTTCAGGAGTGTTACCATTAACAGGCTAAAATGCTTTTATATTGCATGTCAATAGTTCCTGTTTTCACCTCATTCATTATGCAGATGTTTTCAGATCACCTGTAAACTGTCAGTTAAAGCTCAATTTATAGGTGTCAACAGACTAAAGTAAACTACAGTATCACCACTTTTGATGTCTACAGTTAATTTTCAGTAGTCTATAAATCATGTTTCATGTAAAAACAACTGCAAACTAAAACCCAGTTCACAAATATTAATCTAAATGTGCTATTTGTTGCTTACAAATCTGTAAATGTATTTCTAAATTAATTTATCAGTCTGCATTCCTTACTGTTACATTAAAAAATATTATAATAATTATA